TTAATTGTACAAAAACATTCAAACACAAAGTGACGATGTGACTGCCTAAAGCCAGTTTGCTTTAACTGTCAGGTCTGTGATAGCATAAATTATCACAGTATCACAGTATCACAGTATGTTAGAGATTGGAAGGGACCTCAAAAGATCATCTAGTCCAATCCCCCTGCCGGAGCAGGAGCACCTAGATAAGGCTACACAGGAACGTGTCCAGGCGGGTTTTGAATGCCTCCAAAGAAGGAGATTCCACAACCTCCCTGGGCAGCCTGTTCCAGTGTTCCGTCACCCTCACTGAGAAGAAGTTTCTTCTCAGGTTTAAGTGGAACCTCTTGTGCTCCAATTTGTACCCATTACCCCTTATCCTTTCATTGTTTGCCACTGAGAAGAGCCTGGCTCCATCCTCGTGACACTCCCCCTTTATATATTTATATACACTAATAAGGTCACCCCTTAATCTCCTCTTCTCCAAACTATAGAGACCCAGCTCCCTCAGTCTTTCCTCATAAGGGAGATGCTCCACTCCCTTAATCATCTTAGTTGCCCTGCGCTGGACTCTCTCCAGCAGGTCCCTGTCCTTTTAAACTGAGGGGCCCAGAACTGGACACAATATTCCAGATGAGGTCTCACCAGGGCAGAGTAGAGGGGAAGGAGGACCTCTCTCGACCTACTAACCACCCCCCTTCTAATACAACCCAGGATGCCATTGGCCTTCTTGGCCACAAGGGCACAGTGTCGGCTCATGGTCACCCTGTCGTCCACCAGGACCCCCAGGTCCCTCTCCCCTACACTGCTCTCTAACAGGTCGTTCCCCAGCCTATACTGGAACCTGGGGTTGTTCCTGCCCAGATGCAGGACTCTACACTTTCCCTTGTTATATTTCATCAAGTTATTCCCCGCCCAACTCTCCAGCCTGTCCAGGTCTCTCTGGACGGCAGCACAGCCTTCTGGCGTGTCGGCCACTCCTCCCAGCTTAGTGTCATCAGCAAACTTGCTGATAGGACACTCAATTCCCTCATCTAAATCGTTGATGAATATATTAAATAATACTGGTCCCAGAACCGACCCTTGAGGCACTCCACTAGATACAGGCCTCCAACTAGACTCCGCCCCATAGACTACAACTCTCTGACTTCTCTCCTTCAGCCAGTTCACAGTCCACCTCACTACCCTATCATCCAGACCACACTTCCTCAATTTAGCCGCAAGGATGCTGTGGGAAACTGTGTCAAATGCTTTGCTGAAGTCAAGGTAGACCACATCCACCGCTCTACCATCATCCATCCACCGTGTTATTTCCTCATAAAAGGCTACGAGATTGGTCAAGCATGACTTCCCCTTGGTGAAGCCATGTTGACTGCCCCTCATAACCCTCTTATCCTTGATATGCCTTAAGATGGCACCAAGGATAAGGTGTTCCATCACTTTCCCAGGAACGGAGGTGAGGCTAACCGGTCTTAGTTACCCGGGTCCTCCTTCTTGCCCTTTTTGAAGACAGGAGTGACATTTGCTTTCCTCCAGTCCTCAGGCACCTCTCCCTTTCCCAAGACTTGGTAAAGATGATGGAGAGCGGTCTAGCAATGACCTCAGCCAGTTCCCTCAGCACCCGCGGGTGCATCCCATCTGGACCCATGGATTTATGGATATCCAGATTGCTCAACTGGTCTTTAACCCATTCCTCATCGACTAAGGCAGACCGCTCCGTTGACCTATCTTCATCCGAGGTCTCAGCGGTACAGGGCTCTTCAGGACTGCCTCCGGCAGAGTAGACAGAGACAAGGAAGTCATTCAGTAACTCTGCCATCTCTGTATCTTCTGTCACCAGGGCACCTGTCCCGTTCATCAGCGGGCCTACATTGCCTCTGGTGTTCGTTTTACCTGCCATGTATTTGAAAAAGCTCTTTCTGCTGTCCTTGACCACTCTCGCCAGCTTTAATTCCAAGGAGGCCTTAGTCATCCTAGCAGCTTTCCTACATCCTCTAGCAGCAGCCTTATATTCTTCCCAAGTGGCCAGCCCTTCTTTCCATGACCTGTAAACTCTCCTCTTCCACTTGAGCATACCGAGCAATTCCCTGTTTAGCCACGCAGGCCTCCTGACCCTCTTCCTTGACTTCCTACGTGTCGGGATGCTCCGATCTTGAGCTCGGAAAAAGCAGTCCTTGAACGTCAACCAACTATCTTGGGCCCCCTTCCCTTCAAGCAGCCTAGCCCACGGGATTTCCCCTAATTATACTCTGTTGCTTTTTAAATAATAAACAATAAAGCCAATAAACACTAAATGATGACTAATATTACCATATGAAATTGATTGCAGTTTACAATTCAGATCTTGGTATTCACAACTCCCTTATCTTCATAGCAGTTTCAGAATGACTAGATATTTAAAGTGCCATTTTGAACTTATTACCTTTGTTTACATTTCACAAAACTTGGCTGTTTATCACAGATCATGTTGTAATGGTCTGATTTTAATTTATATAACAGCTCAGGGCAACTTTATCTTTTTAATGACAGCCAGAAACGACTGGACCTCCCAGAAGGAGGTAATTATATTGGAAACTATTGCTATTGTCTGCATTGTGGCATTTCAGCTTATTAGAGGAGTTATCCAAAGGATTTTTGGAGTTTGTGGGGTTTATTACCCACAAGCATATAAAAGAGTATAGAAGCTAACTAAATGCTTGAAGACCATGTCCAAGAGATATGTAGACATGAAAACAGTAACACTGTGACTCCTGAGACCCTGGACACAAATGCTCTTCTCAGAAGCAGAGACCGCTGCTTTTTCTTCTACCTTTACTGTGGTATCAGTGATGCTATTTTTCATATGTGGGTGGTCAACTGCTTATATGCAAACTTCAGTGATCACTGTTTGCAACAGAAGTGAGACTGGAAAGGATTAGAGTAAGGAAAACATCTTGCTAGGATCAACTTTTGAATCTGAATCAGCAATGAAACACTTCTGCAGACAAATGACAGCTTTGTGTTAATTATAAGGTACTTCAGTTTCAAAGCTTAATGGACCTTATTTTTCTTTTTTCCTCATAAAGTATTTGGTTTTAAATATAAAATTCTAGTTCCTAGCCTGAAAATTTTGCACCTAGAGTACACATCAGAGTAACTTCTTTACCCAGGATGAAGATTTTCATTTCTCCATTTTAAGGAGGCAGATTTCAGCTTTAAAATATCTGAATATTGTATTCTTGTTTCTCACTGCAGAAATATCAAAATATTTTCTCAATAATAAAAAATAGAAACTTCCTCTCAGAAAAATAAGATTGCAAACAAATTACAGCAGCCTTTGCAGTACTGGCTTCTTTGATACCCAAATTACTAATATATTATTAGTAGCAGTATTAATTATTCATATTATGTTACTGCCAAATCTACTTCAAAACTCCATTGCTAGACCTCTTAGATTTTAAATAAAACCATGGTCTGAGACCATGAAAATTAACTCTGTGCCAGCCAAAACCAGCATGCCTATTATTCTCCCTAAAAGTAAATGAGTATAAAATTTTTAAGGCTACTAAGAATTCAAGTGATCCCAAGTTCTTCAGAGAAACAAAAATCAACACTGGCTGGGTTCCCTGGCATAACACCATCACATAAACACTGACCCAGAAACAGTTGGGGACACAGAAAGGTACATTGTGTAAATAAAGAGCACACAAGGGAAGATTCTTGGTGAAAATATTTATGTTCAGGAGTGTGGAGAGCAGTGATAACTCAAACACGGCACAGTTATTAACAAGTTATCCTGTCAGTGCCTCCTATCCCAAGTGAAGACAGATCTCATCAAGGATCATGCATTATAGAATCATAGAATGTTCAGGGTTGGAAGGGACCTTAAGATCACCTAGTTCCAACTCCCCTGACATGGATTATCCACCTCTGCTAAGTACAGTATATTTAATGGAATTTGCATTAAGAAATTCATCTAATCTGGGGTTTCCTACAAAGTACTGACAAGTAACAAGTCTGTCTCTCCCACCAAGCATCTCAAAGTTTCACATTTGAGCTAGATCAGGCTTTGGGCAATCCACCCAAACCAGCTATACTTTCTCACAGTTAGTGTCCCATCAGGAGAAAACAGCTCTCTTTTCAACTGTGGAAAGAAAGGTTTGGTGCTGTGATAACATTGCAAGAGAGGAAATGCACGGAGGTCCCAGGTGGACAAGGCCTGCTCAGAGCAACACACGTAAATATGACATATACAAATGGCAACAGAGTAGAAGTCCAGCATTTTCACTGCTGGCTGAACCTACAGTTACTTGTTTCCCTATCAATGCATGGAACTGGCTGCAAACAACTGGGAAACCAGCCATCCTTCTTCAGTGCTGTTATGTATTTGTGCAGAAATTGCTCCAGCAATTTCACATGCATAGTCAGGATTTGACTGCCTTTATTAACCAAAAGCCAGACTTTAAACTGGAGGTTCCCAGGTAATGCACAACTGTATACTGTAATTTATATAAAATGACCACTAAGCAAACGTCTGTGATTATCAGATTACAGCTGAAAGTCCACATCTAGAAATATCTGTTTGCCTAATAACTGGGATACTACATGTATATTTAAAAATGCTATTACACATGCGGTTTTGCTACATGCATGCTACTTTTTTCCTTTAAATAAGCTTGCAATACTGCAAGCTGAGTCTAGACAGAAAATCCTATCAAAGGCTAAAATAGCTATATCCACTTTACAACCAGCCTTGGGTAGAAAACAAAGCATATCCCAAGTTTTGATGTTTTATCTGCAGCTAAGTTACTACATAACAGCTGGGAAAGTCACTCTGCCTTTCTTCTCTAGTGTTTTCATCTGTATAATGAGCGTAGTAGACAGAAATGGTTTGCAATACTAATGTAATCAGAATGCCGCACTGGATAATTAATATCTAGTATGGTTACTTTGATACTAACAAATTATACAAAATATTAGGTACTCTGGAAAAAAAAGGAAAAAAAAAAAAAAACCAACCAAAAAAAACCCCAAAACCAAACCTGTCTTTACATCTGAAATAGTCATTTAAAATGATGAACCAGAACAGTAAACCAAAGCACTGAGTCACCTTGGACAGTCAGGCCTTCAGATCTCTCTTTCTTGATTCCTCATAGATAAAATGAAGATAAAATATTGTTCTGACTAATAGAAGAGTCACAAAGATGAAGCGGAGCTTTCTGCTGCAAGCAAGTCAAACATCTCTCATGTGGCTTCACATCTTTCATTTCCCCTTTATTGAGTGCCCAGCTTTGCAGTCACTGATTTAACTTAAGCGTTGCTAAGCCTTGCAAATACACATGAAGAAAACAGAAGCAGTAAGTACACAGCACACTGGGAAGAATGAAGACGGGGACAAGGAGTCAGGGCTTTCTGCTTCACATTCAGGGCTGCCTCTGATTTACATGTGACATTTGTAAGCAATTTTATCTTTTCATCATTTTTTTCCACTAGTAAGTGGGATGAAAATGCATTCCAACACTAACAACTGAGTAACAAAATATATACTAACAATATTGTGGCACACAGATAATGTGACAAACAGCAGTGAAAACATAAATAAGCAAATGAATATTTCTGTGCAAGGCCTAGCAGGGTTTTGCTGTACAGTATGGAACAAGGCTGGATCCTTTCCTGAATGATGAGAGACTGAAAAAGGATGATCAATTTTCAATTAATAACACAACATATGATAATTGAGACTATCCCCCAATACATATACACATAGATCAGAATTAGCATTGCTTATACACATTTTATTCTTTCATTTCCTAACTTTTAGTGCCAGACTTCCCACTCTTCCCGGAAGTTACATTGTATCCTGCAAAGCAGTAACAGGTGCACTGAATACCAACTGCAATTAAGGGTTATTTTCAGGGAAAGTTATCTAAAACTGTCTTGAGGTACTAAGCACAGGTATCACAATAAAAACTCTGGCATAACGTATCATGAGCAGGTCACATGAGTTGAAATATGAAAAGAGAAACAAAATAGGTGGGACTAGCCATACTCACAGGGTACGCACCCAGCTTTATCAAGTAGAAAATACCTCACATAGAATTCTCCACTCTCCAAATGGAGACCTGCTCAACAACCTGGGTAAGCAACTTCCCAGAAGCAGCGCATCCCATTTCTCCACAGAAATCTCACCACACATCACTGCCTCCACCCTTCAGGCGCGGGCAACCCAGGCGAAAATGTTCGCATCCTTTCCAGCAGCAAAGAAAGCCCTTCTTCACACCGAACTCTAAAAACCCCAACTTATCGCTGAAGGCTACCGTACGCGGCCGCAGCCTGCCCGTGAGATGGCAGCTGTGGCGGAGCAGCCTCCTGCCCTCGCCCCTCACCTGACCAACCTGCCGGCCGCATGGCGCCGGCACCCCACTCTGTTGCCCCCTCTCCCCCAGGCCTGAGGGCACGCTCCCGGCCGCTGAGGTCAATCGCCCCTGGGCCTCCTTTGGCTCCTCCCAGGCGTAGGGCTCTACCGCCCTCTGCGATCCCTGCCATATGCACTCCCAGAGGGAAGGGTCACCATGCAACTGTGGGGTGGAAGTGTGAGGGAAGGAGCCAGCATCCCTATCACCCTCGCCCCGTTAGGTGCGGTGAGAGCCCTTGGACATCTAAAGTGGTTGGCTGTGGAGAGAAAATGAGGTGGGGGTCGCGCCTGTCAGCTCTGCAGGCCAGTGAGCTTGGTCTGAGGCCGCAGTGAGCCCAAGTCACCCCAGGGAGCTGCTGCGTTGTGTGGAAAGCCCATGGAGGACAAATGGCGGCTGGGGGAGATCATCCCCCCACCAAGGTCTCTGTCATAGTATCTTAGTTTCAGTGCCTGAGCAGGAAAGTGTGGTGCTGTATGAGTTAGTACCTCTGCAACATCATGATTTATATTTGTTTTTCAACATGCACAGAGAAAAACTGAAATCTAAAGAAGCGGGACAAAGCAGACCATGTGAGAGGCTGCAAATGCTTTATTTAGCTCACTGCTTTGCTAGCCAGCAAACTTAGTCAAGATCAAGGTGACATCTTTCAAGTTCAAAATAAAGACCAGAGCCACCACAAAGAGCTGGAGTTGCTCCTTAAAGTAGGATTACGGGAAAACTTAAAGTACCTTCTGCAGGAAAGAAGTGTTGGGTTGGTTTCCAAAGGAAGCACTTGTCCAACTGTACTTCACACATGGGTCTGTCTGTGCTTCTCACCCATCTGAACTTCTTTGTTCCCCTTCCCTACCAGATCTTTCATGTCTTGTGGATGATTCTAGAGAAATTTGTTAAAGGTTTCAAAGGTCTCAAAGACGAGGTTGCTAAGTATCCGTTTAAGAATGTGGCTGTCCAGAGTAGAGACAAATGCTCAGCTCTGCCTGAACTAAAGGAAAGGATGCAGAGTGAATTCAAGCAATACTAAAGACAAGAAAATCTGCAGAGAAGTCTTTATAGATGCCTTAGTGTGACAAAACCTTCAGAGTTTGCAATCAACCACAAACCACAAATCTGCAGGAGGTTGGACTTCAGTCAAAGAAGTACTTTTGTAAAGTCCTCGCACACTGAAGGGACCATGTCCAACTGAAATACGTGAAAAAATGAACAGTCGTGAACTGCTCCTGTCATTACACAGGTAGGTGCTTGATTTTTACTTGGTGTGTTTGCAGTCTGGGTTGTTTTGGGGTTTTTTTAGTGTGCTTTTGCTAATGAGTGGTTTTGATGAATTTCTGGCTTGGCCTGCCCTACCATACAGAGGAAACCTCTAGCTGCATATACACAGGAAAATCCAGAGTGGATCAAATCATTTCAGTCTACAGGTACATCAGAAAGAGCCTGAAATACCTCCTGTTGTTCCTTTTGCTCATTTTTCACTTCAGCTTTCATCCATTGCAGTGGACAGGTACCTCATACCATACCTCATTCCAGTACTGTATTTTTTGACACAGGGGATGCAGCACTAGAATGTCAGTAGTCCTGAGTTGTTGAGCAGGGTGAATAGGAAGGAGGTGTCTTATAATGGAGGAAGCAGTATGTCATTTGGAAATACCGTATCTGACATTTGCCAAGGTGATACTGATTGCTACTTCTTAAAAGGTGGATTAGATAGTGTGGTTGGCTGTGGTTGGGGTGATTTTGTCTGAACTGTGACAATCTTCCCTGTATAGATGAGAATTTATGAAAAGAAGGCAATTAGGCATAAATGTATTTAAATATAAAAATAACTAAAATTGAGCTTGAAACTTTGTCATTCCAGTAAAACCAGAACAAAATTAGTTTTTTCTGGGTACTGGAATGAGGGACAAAACAGAATTGTGATATGCCAATTATATACATTTTCAGAGGAAAGCAATAAGAGAAGAAAAAAGGAAAAGAAAAGAAAAGAAAAAAAGAAAAAGGAAAAGAAAAGAAAAAAAGGAAAAAGAAAAAAGAAAAGAAAGAAAAAAGTAACTCAGCAATGTGGAAATCAGTTTTAGGAGGAAGAATAGGATTTGCTTTCTGCGGGGTTCAAACCAAAGAAGTTCTGCTCCACATTGAGGCTTTGCTGGGGCATTGGTCAAAGACTTGCAATGGTATGGGCAACATGCATATTTTCATTGAGGGGGGAAGAGGAAGCACGGTGCTAGGCATACGGTGGTTAAGAATGGATAGAGACCATCTAGGACAGGTTGATGAGAAGGTGAAGACAGAGATGGAACATAATGCAGGAACTGTATTGTTAGATCACAGTTTAAGGGAGGATAAAACTTGGTGGGGATTGTGGCAGTTTAAGAAGGTTTGCTTGGTGTAGTGCAGATCGTTTGTCATGGTATGTGCACTATGATCCTTACCTGATGATGGTTAGGCTGAACGTGTTGGGTCTGTGCTTTTAGCTGAACATGATTTAGCTGAATTAGTGCTCACTTTAACACAAGAGTTTTCCTGATCTACCGTGCTGCTATCACGGCTTTTGAGACAATGATGAGAACAACAGGGGTAATGATGAGCATGGTGCTGGTCTCTGACTATTTGCAGCTCAAGGCGGTGCTAGGTATAGTGAGGCTTAGAGCTAGCAGCCTTATTTCTAAGAACAAAGCAGCTGGATTTTCTAACTGCAGGGTTAGTGCCATCAGTTTATACTTCTTCCTATACTAGCCCAGCCATGAAGGTTTTCTCTGGTGAGGTGTAATGTCTGCATATAACTAGCTATTAGTGCCAATGCCATTTCCAGCAAAAACTCCTGCTGACAGATTAAGTTTGCTGTGAAGTCTCTTGTGCCAATGTCTTCTCTGCAAGCTCAGTGAAAGAATTAGGTTTTCCCAGTTCTTAAGCCTCCTAATGACTGCACTTTGTATGTACTGTTAAATCAAGGAATTTATAATTTATGCTGGAGGTGGAAGAACACTCACTGTTTCTAGGCAAGGAAAACCGAGTTAAATTATTAAGCAACTTCAGCTCTTGTCATGAAGGGGTGCTATATTTGAGGGAAAAAAAACAAAAAAATACATGTTAAAACATGAAAAACATGTCTTGGGAATGACGTCAGTGTTGTGTTCAAGTTGTCTGGGTGTTCTCAATAAGAATTTCAAGCTTCCATTTTAATAAATTTACTTCTGAGTATGAGCTTACCTCCGTACATCATAGATTCACAACACTGATTTGCAGATAATTATATACTTCTGTAATGCTTTTTAGCTTTAGTTTCTCACTCATATTCTCAAAACTAATTTCTTGCTAATAGTTTCTGGTTTCCCCTCTGTAAATATATGTCTATTATTGGAATAGTGGCTTCTTGTTTGAATTTAGTTAATATTTGATATGCTGCCAGTATAAAGTCTTACATATATTTCATGTGTTTCCTACAGACCTAAGGTTTGAACAACTTTTTTTCTGTTAAAGGCCTTGAGCTAGTCTTAAAAAATTTATTCACAGTTTGTTGTTAACTCTAAATTATATTTTCAGCCTTCGTTGCAAAATCCACTGATAATACTGCTAGGTTTTGCTACAATACAGATACTATTGCTATAATTACTAATGTAAGCAGCTAGGAGTATTGCACCACAGGTGATATTGTTTGGTTTTGTATTTTATCAGGAGTTTGCATATGTGTGGGGTATTTTAGATTCAAGGTGTAGTCATGTTAGTTTATCTGCCTGTGCACATGGATACTTCATTTCAAAATCAGATGTTACTGTTAAGAATTAATATGTATTTAGCTGAGTGTCCACTCTTCTGGTCTAGTGGGAAAAAGGAGACAATAAGTACATTATATATTTCTAAATATTGGTTAAATCTTATGAAGAGATACTGAAGAATTGAGGGTGTTACTCAGTTTGTATGATAGCTTTCAAGGAAGAAAAAAATAGTGCTTGAGATTTTTCTTTTGTTACTTAATTTCACATCTACTGAAATAGTAATAAAGCAGATCTAGAAGGGCACATGAGCCCAAAAGAAAATGTTACTGTACACCGTAACACTGTCATTAAGGAAAAAATGGGTTCAGGGAGATGAATCTAGTAGCTTCTTTCTCTACTACTGTTATGATTAAATTGGTTAATGACAGACATGAAATATAAGAGATATAAAATAGGTAGCCTGGAGTGTAAAAGCACTGCCAGGATGTGATGAAAATGATTACTGCCATTCTTTAAGTTCATTCTTTTTAATATATATATATATAAATCTGTTTCCTCCCATAATGTCCTTGGTGGTCACAACAGTTTTATATAGCTTTGGAGAAACTTCAAATACATTACACTTCCATGTGGATTAAAAAAAAAAAAAAAGGTACCTCTTTACAGGTATAGCAGGGAGCAGAAATTAAATTCTTCCCTCCCATGTATGTAGTATAATTTCATGTACAATAACCTGTTATCAGGTGATACATGTTATTTTGATTTAAGTTTTGGTATGCTTGCATGGTATGCATGTATGTTTGGTATGCATTATGTATTAATCCTCAAGATTTTGCTTAACAAAAATCTATGAGTTGGGTGTCATTTAAGCCTTCAGTCGTAACAAACTGAATTAATAATTTTGTGATTAGAAACCAGTTCAAATGCCTTGTCAGCATAAGAAAGTCAAGGCCATAGTGCAATGCTATATAGCAAGCTACTCTTACATGTTTAGGAAGGTAATACCTAATGTGTCTCATCTATGTCTTACAGTGATTGTTGGTAAATATGAATTTTTAATGCCTGCCATCATGGTTGTTTCATACCTTTATTTGAAAATCTGTATTGAAGAGCTATACTGCTAATAAATCATTTGATGCAGTGACCAACAGGATGTTAGAAAAATTGAGACTGAATTGATTTGGACTCAAATCCCATTAAATAGACAATGGGTGGCTTATGGATTAGAAAGCTTGGTCATAAATAAACTGCTGGTTTGTCTTCCCATATGAAACCTGCAAACGAAGGAATGACCAGAAAGATAATAAATAGTTGTTCAAGTCAGTTCAGACCCCAACTGCAGA